ATCATAAGAGCAAGGTATCATCGTTTTCTTGACTCGTTAGCTTGAATTTTGTTGTGATGATGCTACGTTGCTCTAATAATGTCCGTCATATGACGGACGAAAGCTTAGTACCTTTTATCGGAATCGAAGAAGATTACGTGGGAAGCAGCGTCAGGAAGAATCTACCAGTAAAGCCAATCAACAGCTGGTCAAGAGGAATCCGCCGTCGTCTTCTGGTGGAACTGACCGTCGAATCTCTTAACCAAACACCTTCACTCGAAATGGAAGTAAGCTCAACAATGATGAAACAAGAGGTTCCTCGAAACCCAACTTTTCTTCGCAGAAGAGAGCTCTACAAGGAGGCACCGGCTTCGCAGGAATGTGTGCCAAAGACTTCTTTCTGCAACTCAACATTCTCTAGATCAAGGCAATCCTTTTGTGATTTCCAATGCGACTAATCCACGAATTCATTTCAGCCGACTTTTTCCTTAAATGAAAAACTAAGTCAAAATATGCAATAAACCCTGGTTTAATCGAAGGTATAAAGCCTAAGATAGTGTGGCCTTTTGTGTGGTCGCAGTCTCATTTCGTTGTATAGAAGTTGTTTGACCTTGTTTTCGCAACTTGGTTATATTGATAGGAAGACTTAGACGAACGCACCAAGTCTGGAGTCCATTGTATGCATGATCATTTCCAGAGTAGGACCGTGGACAGGGTACATTCCCAGACGTTTCGCCGGCATCGTCAGTGAGTATTTCCATTCTGAGCACCACACAACAATTCGTCAAAGTGATAAGTAAGGCCGATCCTTTGACCAAACGTGTGCTAAACAATCGTGGTATCTCTCCTTCCGCTCTGGGCTAATCACCAATCCTATATCCTCGCACCCCGCCTTCACTATCACAATTTTCTTCCTTGCTTATTTAAATCTAGTGTGGTGTGACCTTTTGAGCGGTTGTCATGAGAACCCTCCACACTCTACACTGGTGTTCTCACCCCCCTTCAAACTTGTACTGGAAATGTGGATCAGAGTCTGCCATATTGTTACGCAATTCTCCTTCCATAGGTCTTATCACAGTCTCCCTCTTGCCCCGTAGGATCCGTCTGCCATCTCCCTGGCTCAAGTATTTCACTCGACTACTGCCCCTCCATCTGTGCTCCACGAGGCGTTGTTTCATACATTCTGCGTCTGGGAGACTAACTTAAGCTAAAGCCGCTGAGTAAGTCTCATGGTCAGGCCTTTGCCACATGGACCACGTCTCTTATCAATCCTACTGTCAGCCCACTAGCTCCCATCGCCACCGCGTCTATCTTGTTTCTATCTCTAATACCAAGTCTATAACTTCACATGCCCTAGTCTCCTGTGTGCCAACCCACAAATGTTGTGGTACTGTTTGCTTTGATTAGGTTTAATGTTGAACCACAAAACAATCATAATCTACGATACTAGTCATTTACAATGGGAGTAGTTTTTGACATCTTCAGCCATGCTTGCAGAATAACTTAGTTAGAAGTGGGTTGACTCCGTTGTCGAAACTTGGTCTTGTGGTCAAGGAGACTATGTAGAACGCAACTAGTCCGAAGTCGTCTGCCATAGTAGTTGTCATGAGTCCTA